TCCCTTCCAGCTCCACTCAGTGCAGTGCACAGAGCACACTGCTATTAATGTGCTCCATGTTGGAGTATATGCAGATATATGCATATGTTTATGAGTTCTTCACAGCACTTGCTTTAGACTTTTTACAGGTTCTGTGCTGCAGGAAACGACTAAACCCCCATCACCACTTCCACCACCCCCATCTCACCACCATCCTCCAGTCCCTAAGGGTTCAAGCACCCAAATCAATTGAAAGAAAGAGGAGTGCACTGTGGTCCTCCCCCTACATCTGTCAGGGAGGGAAAGCAGGAGGGGCCGCACTCATGGGCCGTACAGGGGAACAATATCACTCCATCTGTCACAAACCGTTTCATCTCTGATGGGATAAAATATAGCTCAGAAATACATCCACCTCTATATCATCTATGTATTAGCTTTCTGGTGCCCAAGCCTCTATTCCCAGAAGCATATGCAGTGGCTTTTTGTCTCATATTACTTTCCTCCCACCAGCCAGCACTCTCCAACCACCTTGCAAATTATGCTTTTAAGCCAAACGGCATGCTAAAAGAAATTATTCCACTTTACACAGTGAACCAGTTAATGAAAATGGAACACTACCAAGTAACTCAATTTGCATGTAAAAAGTTCCAGAATGAATGTGCAGAGCAGCGAAGCTGAAAGCGTAATGAAAGAGACAGCACATATTGTATTTGGAGGAAATACTGAAAAAAAAAGCAAGATGCAATCTGCTAATAACCAGAGAGCTCTTTCATATTTAAATGGTGCTGCTGCTCTGTTCGGAGGATGGGTGTGGCCCGTTGATTCTTCTTGCCTTCTGAGCTGTCGCGGCTTTGTGACGTCCACAATCCCATTTGCTCTATCAAATTATGCCATCGGGCTGGCCACCGTTCAGTGCCGAGGACAAAATGACAACCCCCGACAATACCTATCAAAGTCGACAGACCTCTACACTGATCTCCGACAAAACACGGTACTGTAGCCCAGTGATCCGGTAAGCTGGAAGAACAGCACAAAATGGCCTGGCTGTCTACCGGAGGGAGGAACGAAAAACTAGAACCCATATCCCCAAGAGCCATCATGCATCTCTCTCAGCAGCAGGTAGAGCTGCAATCTCAGTCATTCATATTTAATTCCACAAGAGTTTCCGGCCAGACTAATGTGCTATTGATTTCAAGTCTCCTGTTCCAGAAACAGGGGAGGCCATGATGGGGGGAGAGCTGGACTACAGGGAGTGAGAGCAAGAGATTGAAAGAGGAGAGGAGGATGAAGATGGAGGGAGGGGGAATAGAGTGCAATGGCTAAACCAATGAGTTTCTCGAAGAAACATTCTCATATTCCATTTAGACAGCCAGCGTTATCTATCTCATAATCTACTCTTTCTCCGTCGAGTAAATACAAAACAAATGCTACATAAAGGCACAAGGTCCACACTTCAGGTTGAAGAAGGAACTGTGTTTTATATTATTTATTATCGGGACATTTAAACAGCTCATGAAGATGAACACAGCTCAGCCTAACGAGGCTGGCGTACTTGTATCTCTTCTATCCGTTGTCTGTCACTTGTGTGTTTTGTTCAGCAGGAAAAGGAGTGATAAAAAAACAAAGAGAACGTCTAAGAGCTTTGTGTATTTCAGGTCGCTCCCTAGATACCAACTCAGACAGGACAAAATTAAAGATTAATAACCACGGTTTTCAGTTAAACGTGGTGTCTGTGAAGGTTAGTCCTGCTTCACCCAACCTCAAAGCCACGTGAACATTCACACACACACACACACACACACACACACACACACACACACACACACACACACACACACACATGATGTTATGATTAACACGTATTAATATATACTGGCGCCTCAATTTTTTCTTAAGACAAATAATAAGAATGTGGCACATAAACATTGCCTGAAGAGGTCAAACATATCACACACTGCTCTGAATTCATGCAAACAAAAGACTGATAACGTTTCACCGAGAATTAAACAGGCACATGGAAAGCAGAATATAATCCATAAATAAAAAGATGACAAGAGCGTCTACTTCAGAGACTTCCTCCCACCAGCCTGTCTACTCTAATAATAGCCCAGAGACAACACATCCAGACACACAGAGGAAGAGGAAGATATAAGAGAAGAGAGAGACGGAGAGAAAGTGCAAGAGTGAACCCATGAGGGAGACCACGAGAAAATCGCCAAATAATACATAAAGGGTTGAATTAGGCCAGTTGCCATTATCAACAAATGGCCTTTTAAAAAGAGGCTAATTTAATTTTGGATCCTTTCCTGAAAGCAATAACTGCTCCACTGCTGCTGCCACAAAACCCTGAATTGCCAAGAGCCAAGCCTAGTGGAGAGACCGCTGAATTAACCAGAACCTGAGGCTGAATCATCCTCCCCATCCCCCAGACACACTGTCATAGTGTCACTCTCTCTCCCCCCTCTCTGCCTCACACACACAAGGCCACTACCTTACCGCAGGGCAATGGCAACAGGCATTCATTTTGACGTAATACTACACAAGAATAAAAGAGATGAGAAACTGAAGAGGCTAGGCTAGGGAATTCAGACCAAAAGGGCTTTTAGTGATTTACAAAGTTAAGTATTTACTATCTAGTGTTCAAACACATAATGAATTTGTAATTCACATGCTGTACTACTGGCATATTCTTGCAGTTCTGGTAACGCTGAGGAGATAAAACACTATTTAAAATGCTCCATACCATATATGCAAGTCTCTGCTCCTTTTACTGTATTTGCTGCGTTGTATGTTTCGTCTGTGGGCTGATGAACTTCAAAATCTCTAAACTGATTCTGTAAATGCTTCGAGTTAATCCCTTTTGGCACCAAGGAGCATTCCATGATATGCTAAGAGAAAAGGACCGCTGCAACAAGACGCCTAATGACCACTAGGGGAGGAACCCTTAACAATAAGAAAATAATCAGTAGAATAACAAAAAGGCTTTTAAGCAAAACCAATTCTTGATTCTTTGATTCAGTAATGTACAATAGGTGCTTTGAATGCCCTCTTACCCACGGGGAGGATTCAGCTGCCGTGCAACGAACCAGGGCTCTAATGAGGGGCCACAATTAAGCCTATTTATTCACATTAAGTGTGAACCGTAAGTGGGGCTGCAGTCAGTCGATGGACCTGGGTGCTTTTGTGTTACAAGAGCCGCTTTTATTCAGCAAACAAAGACGGAAAAAACACAAGCACCTAATGACCAAATCTCTTCTCAGAGACGGCAGAAACACACACTCACACATAGACACGCACATACTCGTCCTCCCTCTCTGACAAACTGACTCAAAGGCTCCAACGCAACCAGGCTGAGTTGAGTCACTGCTTGACAGAACGGTGGGGGCGGGGTTAAGACAGACTGACAGTGGGGCTCCATCTCTATCCTCTTATTAACGCTTAACGAGTGCTTTCCTCATGCAATATTCATCTCCGCTAATATCATCCAAGCTCTGAGCCGAGCCTGCTACTTATGTAAGGCAATTATGTAAAATATCAGACAGGGCCCATGTTCAGAATCTGACTGGAAGAGAGCTGCAGGACAATGACAGAGAAAGAGGGGGTATGCAAGAGTGACTGAAGGTGGGAGAAACAATAAGAGGCATACAGTACGAGGAGATGAGTTACTCGCATGCCCTGTGCTATGTCTTCATCTGAGCACAGACAACATCCATATCCTTCAAAGGCAAGTGGTCAGTGGCATTAATGCAAACACTTCCCTCCCTCGTACCATCACTCCCTAAAGCCAGAGACGTTTGAGGACTCTTCAAGGTCAGTTAGGGAGAGCAAAGCAGAGGAAGTGATTGTTGTTGCAGGAGGACTCACATCAGAACCACTTGTCCACTCATGGACAGATACAAAAATAAAAAACAGGAGACATTAGTTCGATGAAACCTCCCATCACCATCTCACATCCTCACATGACCAGAAACCCAAGACTCATACACAAATAAACAAACATACACTGATTTGCGCACACTTGCGCGCACACCCACCCCCCTCAGGTCAAGGCCCTATGGGGGTCTGCACAGAAATAGGTCATTTGTCACACATGATGTCCCGGGGCAAGGGATGCATTATAGATGAGCCCAAACAGCATGTCTCAGTGAGCACTCACCACACAGGAGGGAGCAGCGGGAGGTGGGCAGAGAGGGATGAGAACTCCTCAGGAAGGGGATTCATAGATGTCATAAAGTAAGACAAAAATCACTGCTGGCCACATTTCTGTTCATGAAGCAAAGAGAAGAGACCATTCAACCCGCCCTGGTCACAGCTACAACCGTACCTTTCTCAACTTTTCACTGAATAGACGGGAATTAATGCAGGGGGCATCTAATTTGTTATTCTCATGTCTGCACCTGACCCTATCTAGCTAGCCATCTGCCGAGAGGTCCAAAAATCATCTACTCATTAGTCGTATTATGGATTTAATGCTTTGTTTGTAGACACAATTCAAACCCAATTATTGCACATTTTGTCTTTTTGCCCCATCGCTTCAATTCTGTGAATATCAGTGGAGAATGTGGACTCAGGAAGTCTGCCGATAACTCAAAATGGCTTTTATTTGCAAAGACAAAGGCCTAAGGAGTGAAGTTGTTTGCTATGGCTTCAAACAGACCTAAATGGAGAATAAGAGAGAAAGGAAGGGGTTGTGCTGAGGGAGAAGTGAGTGCAAAGTGTGGGGAATGAGAGAGAACAGTCGGCTGTCTTCTGCTGCACCCATCTGTTCTAAAAGTGCAGGTGGAAACCTATTCACTCCACTCTGTGTGTGTGTGTGTGAAGAGGGGGGCAGGAAGAAAGGAAGGGCAGCGAGAAAAAGGGAGTGGAGAGATGGAAGGGCAGGGATGGAGAAGGGAGGGGAGGGGAGGAAGGGGGGGGGGGCTCTTAGTGATCTCTCCTGAAGGGGATAATGGGAGAGGAGCGCATTGCAATGGCTGCCATGTAGTACCCTCCCTGCACAATTAGCCAATCAGCAGCGCGCTCTGCCAGCCAGGAGGACGCATAAAAGAAGAACATTGCAGCAGAGGCACAGAAGGAGACTGCGAGAGGAGCAGGGAATTACACATAAAAACAGCAGAACCAGAACACCCTCCCCTGGACACACCCTGCTGAGGATCACTGCTTCTCTTTTTTTCTGAACCATCGCCCACGCCACTCGGAGAGAACGCTCTCCCTCATCATCATCCAGTAGAAAACCCCTTTCTCCTCATTTTCATCCTATAGAGGACACCTACAATCTCAGAGGGCTGAGATTCCCTGGCGAAGATTGTATTTTTTTCCTTTTTTTCTTTTTTTTTTTCTTTTCATTTGGACTCCTGACAGAACACAAGGGCCATATAATTTAAAGGCTGAAGAGCATATAGCGCCTCCAGCTTCAAGACCAGCGGAAAGAAGGACCTAGATTTCTTTCATTGTACGTCAAGAATGGTTACTGTACGTATGACTCCATTTCTCTTGTATTTGTGAAGGGGATGCTGTAGCAGCATGCTTACATTGCATCCTTTTATGTTAGATCTCGTATACACTACTATGCATGTGCACATAGGATGCAGCCATACACAGATTTATTTCTCACTGATATACTTAGTGGAGGTAAACGTCATTTTAAAAGGAGCTGCATGGCTTTGCCCACATGCCAGAGCACAGAGGATGTTTGGGATTAGTGTCCTATCTTTTTGTCCGACGTGCAATGCCGTATTATTATGATATGATTAACGATCGATAGCGGCAATTAGCAATCTCATACTGAGTGATGCGCCATGCCGGCTGCGCTCCAGGCTGCAGTCATCATGCGCGCTGGATAAAGTGTTTATCCTGCCATTTTAGATAGCACAGCCTTTACGTTTTTATGCCACAGCCACTTCGACTGCCTACATGTCGAAGCTTTGATTATTTTTACTAAATGATGCAGAAATCAAGATTTAGGAATTCCGCAGCATTACGGTAACGGAGATGGAGAGAGGCGACGAGGCGCTGGTTCAGTGGGGGGAGGACTGGCTTTCTTTGCCTGGTGCAGCACAAGGATGCTGGAGACGGGTTTCTGAGACAAAACATGATGCCTCGGAGGCTGAGGGCCCATCCAGCAAGGCAAAGGGAAAAAAGGGTCGAGTCACTCCGGGAGGGGGAGGAGGGAGATTACGCATCCATTGGTTTGCATTGAATCACACAAAGTCCAAATTCCTCAGGGTTCTCGTTGCGATGCAACCGAGTGAATGGGACTGGAAGTATCAGAGGCCGCGACAGTATGAGGACGCGCACGGACATCTCCATTTTAAGCGCATTTCCTCCAAGTATCACATCGCATACGTACAAGATGGCCATGCTTGCGTTGCGCGTGTCGGATAAAAGGGGATGAGAGCGGTGATAAATTAGCTTTGCTCTGAGCCGACGGCCGGATTGGGCGTGTCTCTGCTGGACTTAAAACGAGGGCCTTGAAGCCTCAAAAGGCCTACAACGCTTTACCTCTTGACACGCTTGCCAGCAGATAGAGCAATTAACACACATTTACATATAATTATAGAAGCCAGGAAATAAATATGAATCCACAGATCAGCGTGGATGCTGATCTTTGGAATCACATGCAGGTGTTAAAGCCCACACTTATTAAAGTGACATAAAAACAATCCTAAACTATATATTTATCAGTTTAGTTCTGTGGAATTATGAAATGATTTATTTGAATTGGAATTATATCTACACGTGGTAAAATGTCAGGCTGTGACGAATAGCAACACAAGATACATAATTGATCACATAGAAGGAAGAGGGTGTGGGAGAAGGAGTCAGGCCCATGAACAACTTCAACATCTCATTTCATTGTGTTTGAAATTATCTGAATATTGCTTCGGAAAAATAAATACGCAAAATGGAGGTCGACAGCATTGTTTCCTCGCTTGCGAGGCTCGGACTGTCCACTTGACACATCTCCAATCCCAGTTTTATTTTCTCTTTGTTGTACATCACCTATTGTCCCTGGCAGGACGAGAGAATCCCACCGACAGAGGACAGCTCCCCTCCACATGGTCCGCAGTCCTCCATGCCTGTACCGCAGTGCCAAGCAAATAAAAAGCGTTGAGTCAGATAACCTATCCGAGGCACTTACACAATTCAAGGACAAGGGCAGCCGAGGCCATCGCTGTAAAGCAGTCTACACTGTTGTTTGATGCTGAGCTAAAAAATACAGTTCAATGTAAATCGTTTAGGTTAGAGAACATTTTTATTCTCAGTCCAAAAAACACACCAAAAGGCTCCATGTAGTGTTGCAGCTGGTTCATGGCCTGTGTAAATTATATGAGACGTTAAATGTAATTATGTTATTATGTAAGCGGTGGTTTGCCTCCTGTTGCCAACGACTTCATTTAATTATAAGCAACAAATATAAAACCTTTAGGGAAGAAAGAGGTGAATGTACCCTCCATCTCTGACCGACTCTCTCGGGCTCATGTATCATAAAATATAAATAGTATGGACAGCTTTAATAATGTTAATATTGATTTACAATTTCATGAGCGTTGTGGAAAAACATGTTTTTGCTCTGACAATTTATGGCCATTCTCATTGTTCTCGCCGAGTTAAGGCCAGTTTCCCCAGCTTTTTAAATACAACCATTACAATACAAGACTGTTACTGCTTTGAGGAAAAACGGTCCAAATCAGCAAATAAATATTTCGGATTGGTGATGTTTTATTTGACCTATCATGGCGTTTTTGACTTGTGGCTGGCAACTGTAACAGTCATTGTTCCCGGAGAGTCCTGCAGCCCCTGGCCACGACACAAAGCGCCACTGTTTACATTAATATTCATAGTGCTGCCATAGCCTCTGCGAGAGAAGAGGAGGAACGGGTGGCTCTTTTGTTTGCTCGTTTCAATACGTTTATTCAGCAAAAAGGCGCTCTGGTTCATGAATGCCTGCAGAGCTCAGAGTCTTGCCTTTCTTTTTTTAAAGGGGCTTAAATTAGAGAACCGGAGAAATCAAGGGATTTTCCCATATTTAAATAGCCACATATTTGATTATATTTTTCTTAATTACTCGAATTAAAACGTTTTCAAAGTGAACACAATATAGAAAAAACGACTCGATGGTCTTTGCTGGATTCAGGGGCCTCTGTGGCCTCAAACGAGACCGTCCGAAAGCCACTCCCTTTTTCAGCACGCTGGATAGCGCCCCGCATGCTACAAGGACTTGCAGGACACATTTGTCTCCCTGAGCCTCTGACGTTGTCTGCTCCCATCTTATCAAAGCAGCGCGTACTCAGTGAGCTGAAATCTTTTAGAAATCGTTTATTTTTAGTCTGCGGAGCGGAGAATAGGACGGAGCCTCAGTGCATGGCTGACGGGGGCTGTGACTCCTGTCGTTCTGTTGTTTTACAGCTGCCACCATGATCCCTTAAGCTGCAGAGAGTGTGGCTAATGCCCTTTGTTTGGGATAATCCTGTAATCTGTGTTATTTAGAGGGCTCATTTACACTTCAGCCTATAGCTTTCAGTTTTAATTCACGCATCCCAGAAACAAAACTTTATGTTATGCATTAAGACAAGGTTAAATGTGCAAATGAGAAATCATTCTCATCATTGTTAGATTGAAAGATCCAGGTGGTGAAGTCTTTATTCATCATTTTGATTGTTGATTGTGTGAACACAAAGATAACTAAAGTACACAAAATACACACACACACACACACACACACACACACACACACACACACACACA